CCGACTGGCCATTCGTAAGCCTTTCGATTACGATTTTCCAATTAATCACAATGCAACCCCGCCTAGCCTCCGTCTTGCTCCAGCTCAAAGTGTGCTCTGGCATGCCAGCAAAGCCCAACGCCACAGTCCACTTGAGTTTGGTAGCCTCGCCGACCCCTTCCTCAAACTCCTCTCCGGTGCTCTATCCCGAGCACAATCAATAACCATTAATCTCACTTGCATTTGACACGTGTTTGGGTTACATCTTGCCTCTCCCCTCGCCACCCCTCCTCATCTTCCTCGCTCCATCGTTTCGCGAGGGCCTAGAAACTGAATTATGGCACGCAAACCGGCCCCAATTCGATGCGTGAGGTCGTTAGGTGTCAATGCCGGACGAATCCTCCCGGGGACTCGAGCTGCGCCAAGGCCAGTGCTCTCAAGAGTGCCCACCACCTCGCAGCCACAACCGCAGACCGACTCGCATTCATGTACCCCCGAGAAGCGGAGACCGGCCTGACCACAGCAACAGAACCCTCGAGCCCACTCACCAGCCCGACGTACAGCTCGGGAGCAGCGGTCATCCGTTGGTGGGTTTTTCTTCCCTTTTTGCCGCCCTCCCTGGCCAGTGAAATCACACTGGCCGGTTCACACCCCGTCCCTTCGGCGCATTGGTTGCCGAGACGACTGGTACCGCTCGGCTGAAGTGAACAGTCGACCTGGGCCAGCTCAACTTGGAGGCGGAGGAGGTTGGGCCCGAGAGGCCGGTTTCACTGTCCAGCCGAACCAGAAGGTCAGGCAGCAAGAAGCACAAGAAAATCTACCGACCAGGTCTGTGAAGTTGAGAGAGACTTCATGGTCGCTTGGTACAGCGACCGAAACCGAGATGCTCCCTTTCGTTGCACCCTTTCACTCTGTACGTCGGACACTTACTCCCACCCTTTGGAGGAGGAATGCGGACCCAATGGAGCATAGTTTGAGTATGGTAGATATTTTCAGCTCGATCAAGTGACCTTTTTAATGAAGTTGTCCGAATCCAAGTTACACAAATTCAGTCAACGACAGCCTTTTGCAGATGAACCGCTTCGAAACCGTGTGCAAATAGCAAATGCTTAAATCTTGTAAATACGACGAGAAATTGGGTTTCGATAAATTTCCTCAAATAATATTGTTGGTGAGACCTTCATTTTGCATGAAAGTACATGAAGAAGAGATTCGTAAATTGATCTCACCAGAAGAACACGGCTGAATCCCATTGTACTGCGGTCGTTTGACTTTAATATGACGCCGAGGTTGACGCAGTCTACGAGGCATCTTCCTTGTTTCTAGCTTGCTCGAATGTGTGTGTGTGTGTGTGTGTGTGCGTGTGTGTGTGTGTGTGTG